CTAGGTCTCTATGGACCAAATCCGTTTCTGATCATTTGCAGTTGATCTAGCGATGTTCGTCCCTCCGTCTGTCTGACTGGCTAGTGCGCACGATAACTCTCGAAGGGAGTATGCGTTTTGATTGAAACTTGGTACATCGTAATATTATTAACAAACTTAGATCGAGTTCGGAGATGGGCAATATCGGTCCACTCCTTCTGGTACCTGCCCCACAAAAGGTCGAACTTTTCAAAGATAATACTTTACTGCACGGAAAGAGCTCCAACCTGGCAAATCCTAATATTTGCATCAATGCTAGGTCAGGTGAGAAAATTGATAATATCGGTCCACTCCATCCAGTACCTCACCCACAAAGGGTAAAAATGTTGAATAACAATAACTCTTATAAAATGTGATGTAAGAGTCCGATTTACACACATCATAATATATTATTAACCTGAGGTCTGGTGTGTAAAAATGTAGTATATCAGTCCACTACTTCTGGTATCACCCCCATAAAGGGTTAACATTTTGAATATCCACGAAGCTTATAAAACGCGAAATTAACATCCGATTTCATGCAGACTTGGTACATCTTAATATTTCCATCAACACAAGATCTGTTATTAAGATGGTAGAGATCGGACCATTCCTTCTGGTACCTCTCCCACGTAGGGCCAATGTTTTGAAGAACCAAAACGATCATCAAATCCGAAAGAAGAATACGGCACTCTTGATACTTCACACATCCCATTATTTCTACTATGACAAGATGTGAAGCTGTGAAGATAGAATATATCTCTGAAGATAGACTATATCGGTCCACTGCTTGTGGTACCTCTCCCACAAAGGGTCAAAAACGCGAGATTAACATTAACAGATTTGGGACATCCTAATATTTCCATTAAAACAAGATCTGCTATATACAGGGTGAGATAAAAAAACTGCAACAAAGTAAAACGCCATAATTTTTACATTTTTTTTTCAATTTTATTGAATGAAAGCCAAAAATTCGTATTGGTCAACTTTGGCACGAATTATGGCCTTCAAACGGCCAATGAAACCGTCATACGCTGCCCGAAAGTTGCTCTGCGGTATTTTGGTCCATTCCCGGCGAAGAGCTTGCTTGAGGTGATCAACTCTTTGGTATTTTTAAGTGCCAACATTGCGTTCCAAAATAGTAAAGACACAATAGTCCAACGGATTGGTATCCGGAGATTTTGCTGGCCATTGGGCGCTGGAAATGAAGCGAGGAACCTAAAATTTTTGGGTGGCGCGTGCTGTTGGAATGTCCAAGGTCTGCGGCCAAAATGTTTGCGTGCCCAAGGCTTTCATACACCCTCCAGAATATTTTTGCGATAATATTCGGCATTTATTCTGATGTCACGGTCGATTAATACGAGCGGATAGTGACCATCGGCTGTTATGGCGGCCCACACCATCACCATGACCGGAGCTTGAGTTCTGGTGGCCAACTGAAGGTGCACATTTTCAGCTGACCTCTTTGGCTGGCAAGTAAATACGATCAGTTTGCTTGTTTACAAACTGCTGGACCATGAATGTTTTCTCATCGGAGACCGAGAAAACCAAATTCGGCAGTTCACCACTTTCGCCCAAGCGAAGCAAGTCTTTAGCTATTTCGAGTCTATTTTCTTTCTGTTGCGGTGTAAGTTCTTGCACTTTTTGGAATTTCAATGGCTTTACTCCGACCTCATTGTTCAATATTTGCCGAATTAAATATTGCGATATGTTCAGCTCACGAGCCATTTTTCGAACACTGCCACGCGGGTTTAGATCAAGTCGCTTCTTCACTTTTCGAACCATTTCTGCTGATGTTGCTGTTTTCTTCCGTCCACTTCCTTGACGTCGGGCTACGCTACCAGTATCACGGTAACATGATAACGAGCGATGGAACGATACACAAAAGATTTATTCACATTTAAGAGATCTGGAGTGCTCTAATGATAGCTACTTGTGGTTTTCCAGCCAAATATAAAGAAATCACAGTATCACGCTTGAATTGCATCACGAATAACTTTTTTCTGGAAAATTCTCACCGAAATGCTTTTGTAGACTTGTAAACAATATAATGAGCTGCCACTGGAATAATTTTAACAGCTGTCGGATGAGTGGTTTAGAAATGACAGCAGTCTGAAGTTGGTTGCAGTTTATTCATCTCACCCTAGAGATGTGGTACTCCACTCTTCCGTAGATGACCACTTATCTTCTCACCTCTACAATAAATGACCACTGCGGTCCTCTCCTCTACAGTAGATGACCTCTGAGGTCCTCTACTCTACAGTAGATGACCTCTGAGGTCCTCTACTCTACAGTAGATGACCATTGAGGTTCTCTGCTCTGCAGTAGATGACCTCTGAGGTCCTCTACTCTACAGTAGATGACCTCTGAGGTCCTCTATTCTGCAGTAGATGACCTTTGAGGTCCTCTACTCTGCTGTAGCTGACCAAGTAGATGACAGTTTATGACAATTATAAATTGCACATAACGCATTCAGCACCCGAAAATACAGGTCATTTACTATGGTTTACTTTAAGTTCACTTTTTTAGAGTGTCTGTTTGTTGTACCTGCTCCTCTGATTATTTCCTCTCTGTTTGCGACTAAATTTCATTTAATATTCTCTCTTTTTTTTTGCTGCAAGTAAGTCAGGCTTACAGTAGATGACCTCTGAGGTCCTCTACTCTCTAGTAGATGACCTCTGAGGTCCTCTACTCTCTAGTAGATGACCTCTGAGGTCCTCTACTCTACAGTAGAGGTCCTCTACTCTACAGTGGATGACCTCTGAGGTCCTCTACTCTACAGTAGATGACCTCTAAGGTCCTCTACTCTACAGTAGATGACCTCTAAGGTCCTTTACTCTACAGTAGATGACCTCTAAGGTCCTCTATTCTACAGTAGATGACCTTTGAGGTCCTATAATCTACAGTAGATGACCTCTGAGGTCCTCTAGTCAGAGGTCATGTATGGGGGAGTAGAGGACTTCAGAGGTCATGTATGGGGGAGTAGAGGACCTCAGAGGTCATCTATGGGGGAGTAGAGGACCTCAGAGGTCATCTATGGGGTAGTAGAAGACCTCAGTGGTCATCTATGGGGGAGTAGAAGACCTCAGTGGTTATCTACGGGGGAGTAGAGGATCTCAATGGAAATGTCCTGAAAAATGCGGGGGAGTAGATGACCTCAGTGTTCATCTACATGAATAGAAGTCCTTAGAGATCATCTACGGGGTGGTAGAATACCTCAGTGCTGGGAGTAGAGGACCTCAGTGGTCATCTACGGGAGAGTAGAGGACCTCAGTGGCCATTTACTGTAGAGTAGAGAACCTCAGAGGTCATCTACTGTAGAGTAGAGGACTCCAGAGGTCATATATTGTAGAGTAGAGGACCTCAGAGGTCATCTACTGTAGAGTAGAGGACTTCAGAGGTCCTCTACTCCCCCATAGATGACCTCTGAGGTCTACTGTAGAGTAGAGGACTTCAGAGGTCATGTATGGGGGAGTAGAGGACTTCAGAGGTCATGTATGGGGGAGTAGAGGACCTCAGAGGTCATCTATGGGGGAGTAGAGGACCTCAGAGGTCATCTATGGGGGAGTAGAGGACCTCAGAGGTCATCTATGGGGGAGTAGAGGACCTCAGAGGTCATCTATGGGGGAGTAGAGGACCTCAGAGGTCATCTATGGGGGAGTAGAGGACCTCAGAGTTCATCTATGCGGGAGTAGAGGACCTCAGAAGTCATCTATGGTGGAGTAGAAGACCTCAGAGTTCATCTATGGGGGAGTAAAAGACCTCAAAGGTCATCTATGGGGGAGTAGAAGGCCTCAAAGGTCATTTATGGGGTAGTAGAAGACCTCAGTGGTCATCTATGGGGGAGTAGAAGACCTCAGTGGTTATCTACGGGGGAGTAGAGGATCTCAATGGAAATGTCCTGAAAAATGCAATATAATATATAGCCTGGGACTAATTGTAAAATTTTGTTAAAATCCGATATTAAGTCCTTGGATGATCTACAATTTAGTCCTTGAAAAACATTTAATAAAATGTACGATTTAGTCCTTGAGAATAATTGTTGGGAAGATCTGCGATTGAGTCCTGTAAAATATTCATCTGTAAATCTACGATTAAGACGTTGAAAAATATTTCTAAGACATCCGCTATTTAATTTTTGAGAAATATACTTGAAAGCCAGGGCGGGGTCCTTGAAAAATATTTTTAAGTAATCCACTATGTAGTCCTTGAGAAATATTTTTGTAAATCTTTGATGTAGTCCTTGAGAAAAATTTTAGTAAATCCACGATGTAGTCCTTGGAAAAAATGTTTTGTAAATCCACGATTTAGTCTTTGAAAATAGTTTTAGAAAAAATCCACGACTTAGTCCATGAGAATTATTTTTTTTTTGGAATATTTACGACTAAGTCTTTGAAAATATACATTTAAAAAAAAAAAAAAATCAAGGATTTAGTCCTTTAGATATATTTTCATATTTTATTAAAAATCTTAGATTTGGTCACTGAAAACAATTTATAAAGAGTCATGCTTTAGTCTTTGAAATATTTTGTCGAAGATTTGCAATTCTGTCCTTTGGGAAACTTTAAAAAAAAACTACAATTTAGTCCTTGAAATTATTATCCAAGATTTAGTCGTTGAGAAATATTAAAAAAAAAACAAAGTTTTTGTCTTTCAAAAAAATATTTGAAAATCCAAATCTTCGTCTTTGGATATATATTTTTTTAAAATTTACGATTTCGTCCTTGACAAATATTTAAAAAGATACAATTAAAAAATTCACGATTTGATCTTTGAAATATTTCGTTAAAAAAACGACATAATAGTCCTGGAAAAGTATTTTTCAAAAATATTAAAAAAAAACAACAATTTTGTCCTTGACATTTTTTAAAATCCATTATTTAGACTTAACACGGAGAGATTTTCAGTTCCTGTATATCCTTTGGAATTTTGTATCTCGAAAACGCATATCCATCTACTTATACACCACCACCACCACTTACCACAAGTGCCACATAGCCATGCAGGCCATTGTAGACTCTCAGGCCTTGATAGAAATCTCCCCGGCAATAGTCCTCACATTCATCCGATGAATTCGAGTCCAAGCCACTCGAATCCTTGTGATTGTAGGCATTCAAATACTTGATAAATTGTATCAATTCGTCGGTGGTCAGATTCGTACCGTATTTTTTCAAATCGATGTTGTCGGGTAATGTTTGGGCGGGAGCCATCATTGCGAATTGTCGATGTTAGGTAGGTAACTGAAATAGAAGAGACAGAGAGAGAGAGAGAGAGGCAATGGTAAACAAATATTTCTGTATGTGTATGAATACTTCTCAAATGAATGTTTGAAAATGAAATTAAATTAGTTTGTGTCTCCCCCCACCCTGTGGCCCACACCCCACCATCAATTATAATTAGCATAATGTGTTGAATTTGTGTTGAAATATTTATGACACGAATTGCAGATTTCAAAGTAGATGTTTACATTACCAGGCCCATTATCGTTCATTTGCATCGGCAATTCAATGACAATCGTTTTGGGACACTGTCTATAAATCTTGTAATTTTATTACAAATTGAAAATGTGCTGAGCGTTGTTTAAATCAAAGTAAAAGTCATTGAAGCGTGTTGTCATTGATTAGCGAGTTCGGTGCAAGGTTGTCAGCCTGGGTGGTTGCCAGTCTGTTTGGGTAGTTCTTTCTTGCATTTCATTAAAGACAGTTAAGCATGATTGCTAATTAACCGCAGACGTTCTAACTGCGGCGCAATGTTATTCGAAGGCCTTCAGACACTAATTAATGTTCAATTATGGCCGCACTCAAATTTTCAGGGGTTAGGGGGACGTAATTGGGTGGAGGATGAAGGTATAGTTTTATTGAAAAACTATTGAAGAGTAATGAGGTTTTTTTTTGCTTGGAAATCCTTGAAAGTTGTTCTTAAAACTTCAAGATTTTTCACATAAAGTCCTTGACAGGATGTGTCACGAAATTTAAAGAAATGTCAAGAAATTTAAAAACTTTAAAAAATATGTTAAAAAATTAAAAATTGCATATAGTCCCTGACACATATTTTACAAATAATCCTTAACAATTTTTTCATACATAGCTCTTGAAAAATATTTTTTACAAAATCCAACATTGTATGGAGTCCTTGAATTTTTTTTAAATCCCCAATTGTATAAAGTCCTTGAAAAATATTTTTTAAAAATCTACAATTGTATTAAGTCCTTGAAAAATATATTTTTTTAAATCTACAATTGTATTAAATCTTCGAAAAATAGTTTTTAAAAAAATCCACCATTGTGAAAATTCTTTGAAAAATATTTTCAAAAAATCACCATAGTATATAGTCTTTGAAAATATTTTTCTAAAAATTATCGTTTGTATAAAGTTCTTGAAAAAAATGAAACATATTCTTAAAAAATCCACGATTGTCTAAAGTCCTCGATATTATTTTTTTTAAAAAATCCACGATAATATAAAGACCTTGAAACATACTTTTTAAAAAAAATATTTTTTGTATAAAGCCCTCGAAAATTATTAAAAAAAAAAATCCACGATTGTATAAAGTCCTCGAAAATATTTTTTTAAAAAATCCACGATAATATAAAGACCTTGAAACATACTTTTTAAAAAAAATATTTTTTGTATAAAGTCCTCGAAAATTATTAAAAAAAAAAAATCCACGATTGTATAAAGTCCTCGAAAATATTTTTTTAAAAAATCCACGATTGTATAACGTCATTGAAAATTATTTTTTAAAAAATCCACGATTGTATAACGTCATTGAAAATTATTTTTTAAAATTCCACGATTGTCTAAAGTCTTCGATGTTATTTTTTTTTATTATTTAAATTATTTTTTAAAAAATCCACGATTGTATAACGTCATTGAAAATTATTTTTTAAAAAATCCACGATTGTATAACGTCATTGAAAATTATTTTTTAAAAAATCCACGATTGTATAACGTCATTGAAAATTATTTTTTAAAAAATCCACGATTGTCTAAAGTCTTCGATGTTATTTTTTTTTTATTATTTAAATTATTTTTTAAAAAATCCACGATTGTCTAAAGCCTTCGATGTTATTTTTTTTTATTATTTAAATTATTTTTTAAAAAATCCACGATTGTATAACGTCATTGAAAATTATTTTTTAAAAAATCCACGATTGTATAACATCATTGAAAATAATTTTTTAAAAAATCCACGATTGTATAACATCATTGAAAATTATTTTTTAAAAAATCCACGATTGTATAACTTCATTGAAAATTATTTTTTTAAAAATCCACGATTGTATAACGTCATTGAAAATTATTTTTTAAAAAATCCACGATTGTATAACGTCATTGAAAATTATTTTTTAAAAAATCCACGATTGTATAAAGTCCTCGAAAAATATTTGTTTAAAAAAATGCACGATTGTATAAAGTCCTCGAGAAATATTTTTTAATAAATCCACGATTGTATAAGGTCATTGAAAATTATTTTTTTAAAAATCCACGATTGTCTAATGTCATTGAAAATTATTTTTTAATAAATCCACGATTGTATAACGTCATTGAAAATTATTTTTTTAAAAATCCACGATTGTCTAATGTCATTGAAAATTATTTTTTAAAAAATCCACGATTGTCTAACGTCATTGAAAATTATTTTTTAAAAAATCCACGATTGTATAACGTCATTGAAAATTATTTTTTAAAAAATCCACGATTGTATAACGTCATTGAAAATTATTTTTTAAAAAATCCACGATTGTATAACGTCATTGAATTTTTTTTTTAAATCCACGATTGTATAATGTCATTGAAAATTATTTTTTAAAAAATCCACGATTGTATAAAGTCATTGAAAATTAATTTTTTAAAAAATCCACGATTGTATAACGTCATTGAGATTTATTTTTTAAAAAATCCACGATTGTGTAAAGTCATTGAAAATTATTTTTTAAAAAATCCACGATTGTATAACGTCATTGAAAATTATTTTTTAAAAAATCCACGATTGTATAACGTCATTGAAAATTATTTTTTTGAAAAATCCACGATTGTATAATGTCTGTGAAAAAATATTAAAAAAAAATCCATGATTGTATAAAGTCCTCGAAAATTATTTTTTTAAAAAATCCACGATTGCATAACATCATTGAAAATTATTTTTTAAAAAATCCACGACTTTATAACGTCATTGAAAATTATTTTTTAAAAAATCCACGATTGTATAACGTCATTGAAAATTATTTTTTAAAAAATCCACGATTGTATAAAGTCCTCGAAAATTATTTTTTAAAAAATCCACGATTGTATAACGTCATTGAAAATTATTTTTTAAAAAATCCACAACTGTATAAAGTCATTGAAAATGTATTTAAAAAGACCAATTCTCTAAAGTCCTTAATAAATTTTTTTTTAAATCCACGATAGTAAAAAATCCATGAAAAATGTTTTTAAAAAATCCACAATTATGTGTAGTCCTTGAAAAATATTTTTTTTTTAAATCCACGATTGCATAAAGTCCTTAAAATATATTTTTTAAATCCACGTTTGTTTAAAGTCCTTGAAAAATATTTTTCAAAAAACCTACAATTATATGTAGTCCTTGAAAAACACTTTTAAAAAAATCCATGATTGTATAAATTCTTGAAAAATATGATTGTATGGACTTCTTGAAACAATTAAAAAAAAATCCATGATAGTAAAAAATCCAAGAAAAATATTTTTAAAAAATCCACAATTATATGCAGTTCTTGAAAAATATTGTACAAAGTTCTTGAAATGCATTTTTAATAAAATCCACGATTGTAAACAGTCCTTAAAAAATATTTTTAAAAAATCCACGATTGGATAAAATCCTAAAAAAAATATTTTTTAAAAAATCCACGATTGTAAAAAGACCTTGAAAAATATTTTAAAAATCCGCGAGTGGATATTGCCCTTAAAATATTATTAAAAAAACCACGATCTATTTAAAAATTATCGAGTTTACTGGCCAAAGAGGTCAGCTGAAAATGTGCACCTTCGGTTGGCCACCAGAACTCCAGTGCCGGCCATGGTGATGGTGTGGGCCGCCATAACAGCCGATGGTCGCTCTCCGATCGTATTAAACGACCATGGCATCAGAATAAATGACGAATATTATCGCGAAAATATTCTGGAGGCTATATTAAAGCCTGGAGCACGCAAACATTTTGGCCGCAGACCTTGGAGATTCCAACAGGATTCAGCACCATCGCACTCAGCACGCGCCACCCAAGAATGGTTACAAAATGAGGTTCCTCGCTTCATTTCCAGTGCCCAGTGGCCATCAATATCTCCCGATACCAATCCGTTGGACTATTGTGTCTGGAGTATTTTGGAAAGCAAGGTTGGCACTAAAAAATACCAAAGTGTCGATCGCCTCAAGCAAGAGTTTTGCCGGGATTGGGCCAAAATACCGCAGAGCAACATTCGGGCAGCATGTGACGGTTTCATTGGCCGTTTTAAGGCCATAAATTCGTCCCAAGGGTGACCATTTCGAACAAATCTAAATTTATTCTAAAACTTGATGCTATTTCCGATTTTTTTTTTTTTGCTTTCATTTAATAAAATTAAAAATTATGGTGTTTAACTTTGTTGCAGTTTTTATACCCTCCACCATGGGTAGGAGGGTATATTAACTTTGTCATTCCGTTTGTAACACCTCTAAATATTCGTCGTAGACCCCATAAAGTATATATATTCATAATCAGCATAAAATTCTAAGACGATTGAGCGATGTCCGTCTGTCTGTCCGTCTGTCTGTCTGTCTGTTGAAATCACGATAGAGCCCACATTATTTGACGTAGACCTTTGAAATTTGGCACAAGTGTGTGTATTGTCCCTAGGATGGTTGGTATTGAAAATGAGATATATCGGTCCACGTTCTGGTATAGTCCCCATATAACGGTACCTCCCGATATTCGGTATTTTGATGATTTATGCCACATTTTTTCACGGATTTATCTGAAAATTGGTATTTGTAGGTCACAACGGGTCCCTGAGCGTGTGGCAAAACATTGCATGTATAGGTCCACGTTCTGGTATAGTCCCCATATAACGGTACCTCCCGATATTCGGTATTTTGATGATTTATGCCACATTTTTTCACTGATTTGTGTAAAAGTTCGTATTTGTGGGTCATAATGGGTCCTAGTTCGTGTGGCGAAACATTGTAATTATAGGTGCACGTGTTGGTGAAGCCCCTATATAACGGTACCACCCGATATTCGGCATTT